GAGACCCGCGACACGGACCCCCAACAAGAGGCCGAGTGGATCGGGACAGCATTGGCGGCGGCGTGTAACGCCGCCATGCCCCGATCGAAAACTCGGCCTCGGCGGGCGGTCCACTGGTGGACGGAAGAAATTGCCGAACTACGCCGGCAAGCCGTCCACCAGCAGAGAATATCCGCCCGCTATGCGCGCAAGGGCGGGCAGGCGGCCGAAAGGGCAAGGGAGGGCTACCTGGCGGCCAAGGTGACACTCCGCAAGGCCATCAAGAAGGCCAAAGGCCAGGCGTGGACGGAGTTCATCAACTCCCTAAATGAAGATCCGTGGGGGCGCCCATATAAGATGGTTCTCAATAAGTTGAGGCCATGGGCGCCCCCTCTAACGGAGCGGCTGAACGCGGGATTCGTACAGAGGGTGGTGCGTACCCTCTTCCCCGACGATGACGGGGAGGAGGGCCCACCCTTATTGTCCGGGGAAAAATCCCCGGACTGGGACGAGTCCCTCGACGTCCAGCCGGATGAACTCCGGAAGGCCGTCAAGAGGGGACTAAGGGGCAACACGGCCCCTGGTCCCGACGGCCTTCACAAGAAGGTCCACGCCCTGGCCATGGGCGTCCTCGCAGAGAACTACGCGCGCCTCTATAGCGCGTGCCTCCGGAGAGGGTCTTTCCCCCCGCAGTGGAGGAGCGCCACGTTGGTGCTCCTCCAGAAGGAGGGGAAGGACGTATCCGTGCCGTCGGCGTATCGCCCAATATGCCTTCTGGACGAATCCGGCAAGCTTTTTGAGCGCATCATAGCGAGCCGGATCGTCCAGCACCTGTCCCACGTGGGCCCCAATATCAACGGGGCCCAATACGGATTCCGAGAGGGCCTATCGACAATGGATGCGATTAATCGCGTCCAGGCCCTCTCGGACGAGGTGACTTCCCGGGGGGGGGGGATGATAGCGGTGTTGGATATCTCCAACGCATTCAACACCCTCCCCTGGGAAATGATCAGGGGGTCGCTCCGACGCCTGGGGATACCGTTGTATCTCCAACGGGTCGTGAGCGACTACCTGAGGGACAGGTGGGTTGAGTATGTCGACCAAGGCGGCGTGCGCCGACGGGTGGAACTGCGCCGGGGAGTGCCCCAGGGGTCCGTTTTGGGACCACTTTTGTGGAACGTGGGGTACGACCCGGTGTTGCGGACTCCCCTCCCCCCGGACTGTCACGTCGTCTGCTACGCAGACGACACATTAGTGACGGCCGGGGGGTCGCGACTGGGGGGAGGCCCTCTCCAGGGGGAGAGTGGCAGCGGAAGCGGTGGTTCGCTCTATCCGCAGGCTGGGCCTCGAGGTGGCACTCGACAAGACCGAGGCCGTTGTGTTCCACGTTGGAGCACGCGGCAAGCCACCCGAGGGGCTGTCCCTGCTTGTGGATACAACCCTCGTCAGGATCACCCGGGAAATGAGGTACCTCGGGTTGATCCTGGACGACCGATGGAGGTTCGAGAGCCACCTTGCCGCGGCCGCTAACCGGGCGAGAGCGAGAGCGACCCAGTTGGGCCGCATCCTCCCCAACCTGGGCGGCCCGGATGACAAGGTGCGTAGGTTGTACGCCAACGTAGTCAAGTCGGTGGTGCTCTATGGGGCCCCTGTTTGGGCCCCAAGGCTCGCGGCATTGAGACGTGCCCGCGCCGGTATGGCGCGGGCAATTCGCCCAATCGCCGCGAGGATATGTAGGGCCTACCGGACTGTGGCGTACAACGCTGCGGCGGTGATTTCCGGTCTCCCCCCGATGGAGTACGCGGCCGAGGAACAGAGGTTGATGTTCCTCGCGAGCCGCGACTCGGAGGGGAGGCCAATCAAGATGTTGGAGAAACACCGCGCTCGGATGAGACTCCAGCACCGACGACGCACAATCGCCAAGTGGCGACAAGAGTTGATAGCCTCGGGGGTTGGTACCCCGGGTCTGCGCGTCGTCGGTGCGATCGGGCCCCTCCTCGACTAGTGGGTCGATAGAGGATGGGGTGGGTTGTCCTTCCGGATGACTCAGGTTCTGACGGGGCATGGCTGCTTCGGTCATTTCCTGAGTCGGATCGGAAGGGAGCAGTCTCCCAGCTGCCACCATTGTGACGCCGAGGACGACACCGCCCAGCATACACTGGAGGTGTGTCCTCGGTGGGCGGACGAGCGGGCCGCGCTCGTCCGCGAGATAGGCGCGGACCTCTCCCTCCCGGCGGTAATCGAAGCCATTTTGGAGAGGGAGGGGTCCTGGCACGCGTTTGCCTCCTTCTGTGAGAAGGTTATCTCGCAGAAGGAGGCGGCGCACAGTGGGTCAAAGAGCCGATCTAGCATGCAAAAAGTCGTTATACCGAACATGCTCAGCCGATTTTCGTGACTTAGGGTACCCTGGGGTTTTTTGGGTCGCTGATCACGAATCTGATGTCAGATTGTTGAAATTCAAAATGGAGGACTCAATATGGCGACCATAAAGTATCAAAATTGTATAAATATAATTTTAG